CTCCAGTCGTACAGGGACTGGACAGCCCTTAGCAAAGGGCCCTGGACCCCATACTCCCAGAGCACCCCCCACAGGGTGCCGCGAGGAACATGGTCAAATGCCTTCTCCAAATCCACAAAATGCATGTGGACTGGTTGGGCAAACTCCCATGAACCCTTCACCACCCTGAAGAGGGTATAGAGCTGGTCCAGTGTTCCGCGGCCAGGACAAAAACTGCATTGTTCCTCCTGAATCCAAGGTTTAACTATCAGTCGAATTCTCCTCTCCAGTACCCTGGCATAGACTTTCCCGGGGAGGCTGAGGAGTGTGATCCCCCTGTAATTGGAACACACCCTCTGGCCCCCCTTCTTGAAAAGAGGGATCACCACCCCGGTCTGTCAGTCCATAGGCACTGTCCCCAACCACCACGTGCTGTTGCAGAGGCGTGTCAGCCAAGACAGCCCCACAAAGTCCAGACATTTAAGGCACTCAGGGTGGATTAAAAAAGTTTTGACACCAGGACAGTGAGACCTGGTGTTTAAACTCTATTTTATTTCGAGCAGCCCATTATGATAACTTTATGTTTGTAAAACATATTACTTTAAATCATGGTGGTTTCATTTCATAAAATTGAAAATGAGGCAAACCATGATAAAGGGTAGTACTGAATTAGTACATAATTGAGTCACTACCCCAACTCTGTGAAAGTCATTTGGAGCAGTCATATGATCTATTTGTATTTGCTTTAGTACAAGTTGTCTTTAGTAGCTACAGTTATGAAATACTTCATATCAATAATTTTGCACGCCCAATTTTTCAGTTTTTTTTTTGTTAAAAAATTTTGACATATCCAATAAATTTCGTTCCACTTCATGATTGTGTCCCACTTGTTGTTGATTCTTCACAAAAAATTACAGTTTTATATCTTTATGTTTGAAGCCTGAAATGTGGCAAAAGGTCGCAAAGTTCAAGGGGGCCGAATACTTTCGCAAGGCACTGTAATTACAGCGAAAGGTAATTCGACAAAGTATTGACTCAAGGGGGCTGCACGCCACACTTTTCAGATTTTTATTTGTAAAAAATCTTGAACACCACATATCATTTTCCTTCCACTTCACAATTATGCGATACTTTGCGTTTGTTGAGAACGCTCGACACAATTGTGAGCGAGCGGAGAAATTAGCAGACCCAGGCGGCTGGCTTCGATGCAAGTAGGGATTTATTTACAGTGTTAAAGCAGTGCAAATATATATACAAGGTGAAGGTATGAATATGACCGGGTGCCGACCAGCAGTAGTAAGAGTTATTGTCCGTGGAGTGATGATGGGCCGGGCTGCAGGGGTTGGAATCACTCCTGGGCTGGTCGGGTAGGAGATCCGGTTGACTGTGGAGGTAATGAGAGAGTTCAGTTAAAGTGGAGACTGTGCATCGACCTGTGATGGTGGCTGGTGGAGCTGAGGGTGCCAGGATCCAGAGGAGAGGTCCAAAAAATGCAGAGGGAAACTAGGAACACACAACATACGAAGAACAACGAGAATAAGCAAAGTACTAATCTAAGGGAGAGCTGACGACTGAGAAAGAACTAGCAAGGGAGTGAAGGGTAAGCCGAGTATAAATAAGGAGTGAGACAAAGGAGGCGCAGATGAAGAGTGTCAGAAAATCAGGGCAGGTGTGTCTAATCAAATAATCAGTGTGAGGGAGCTGACTAGGGCGAGAAAAAAAAGAGAGGAAGGTGCAGCCGGGCAAACCTGACACGATTGGTATTCACCCAACTTCACAAATTGATGCCTCTGTGTCAAATAACTTCTAATCCATTTCAGAACCATTCCTCTGATCCCATATTTTTCTAACTTATCCATTAATAACTAATGATTGATTGTGTCAAATGCTTTTTTTAGGTCAATAAATATCCCCATCATGTATTTATTCTCATCCATAGCACTTGTAATGTCTTCCATCAGGTTGGTAATGGCCAAAGATGTCGATCGGTTTGACCTAAAACCATATTGGCAATCAGAGAGGATTTTATGTCTATCAATAAATGTGTCTAATCTGTTATTAAAGAGTTTTTCCAAGATTTTTGAAAATTGTGACAACAGAGAAACCGGTCTATAATTTGTGAAGTTGTGCTTATCACCAGATTTATACAGTGGAATAACCT